CTAGTCCCGTATTCTAGGTTGGACGAACATAGGCTTTGTATGCCTTATGTAGAACACATGGATCCTTAGTGAGCGGACTCCCAAGGAGTAAGTGAAGCTGCCGCTATGCCTTACACAATGAAGACGAACGGTGTCAAAAAATGCCAACTTTTTGTCAACAGTGAACCCTAGGTCCCTGACTTCACTGTTCATGCAGAACTTGTTGCCAACAATGTGGTAATCGGAAGGATCAAGACTAGGGCCGATAAGGAAAGCAGGCTTTTTTCTGTGGCTAGGGGGAGATCCCACCCCTTGGATCAAGTACTTACAACGTTGAATTCTCTTGAATTTCAGTTAAATGATCTGGAGTTGAGGCTGATTTGTATCCTTCATATCCTCAGCAAATCCTTTGCAATTAACACCTGAATCTTCTACTAGACTTGGAAGCTCATGTATTGAAAAGAACTGGGAGAAAATCTCCTCGAGGAACCCCTCTAGGTGACAATAAGCAGAGTATTTCTTATTGATACGAACCTGAACAATGAGTTTCTCAAAATGGTTCCGACCATTCTTCTGTGTACGCCTATGCGTCTCAACTTCGTCGGTAACTTCTTATGCGAAACCCTGTCAAGTGCATTGCGGAAATTTCAGTAGATGACATCGACCCCTTTTTCCGTTGTCCGTGTACGTCGTACAATCACTTATGGCCTCGAGAAAGCTGTGGAACGATATCTATGAAAATGTTGCTGAATGTTGGACAGAATCTTGTTCCACAGAATCTCTGAATGCCCTACTGAACACTGTTCGGAATAGTCTCCAACTTCTCTCTTGCTTTAATCTCGGTTTAGATGTTTCTGATTATAATATTCTTGTGCCGTGCGAGGTTGTTAGGTGGAACATTTATCAACCAACGGCCTAACGTTTCGACGTTGTCGTCTGCTTCAGAAGCCTGAAGCAACTCGAGATTATTTGCACAGTATCCAAAAAGTGCATTACCTCCTGGCGAATGTTACGACGAATTCAATACCCCTAATTCTGTAAGAGTTAGAAGTAACCTAAGTAGCAAGGGGCAGATAGGTGATTCATTCATTGCAGCTTTCTAGGCTCCGATGATTCTGCTGATTAAAGGCGGCGACAAGCGAGAGGAGAAGGGCACCGAGGAGCGGTATTCGAGGATACGACCGGGGCGCAGGATGGCTGCCTCGTCCAGCTGCAACTCCACACCGTTCCCGTCCACCGACTTCCGCTCGACGTCGACATGTTGTATTCGCTGTTATTAGCTATTATTACGATCCTGTCCGATTGTTATGGTAGTGTTGTTATTATGGATAAATATTTCAAGCTGCTGTGATCGTCTTCTACTGGAGGAGGACGAGGGAGGCCCCCTCGCCAATAATTGGTAGCAGCGAGTGCGGACGGAAACAGCAGGCCGAGGTAAGCTGTAATAAGCTTTCGTTTCATTCATTTTGATGCACTTTTCTTAATTTCCTTTCCTTCCTTAAGCCTTCGTAATCTCCGACTTGTTCAATAGACGGCTGTTGTGAGCACCCTCCCTACTTCCTTCTTTTGGAATTAGGAGGAGAGTTTCATCACTCAAGCGTGACCTCACTCCGACCGTTGTCGAAAGCCTGATCAGTCGGAAAATAATTGGCAAAGGCACTTACAATCTTCTAACCCTTATTTTTTTTTCTCCTGTCCCAGCTTAACAAACTAGTATTTTCTTCTTTCTCCTCCTTTCATAATCACCGTAAAAAGTTTCCTTTCTCAACTCGTCATAGTTCTTTCTTACCTTGGATCTTGGAAAAGTTTTATGTTCGAAGCGGACTTCAGTCATCATTACCTGCAACTCCTAGCCTGGCCAGCTAAGGGGTGCAGAGAGCCGCCCGCTCGCCATCGTATCTCCCCCACGACCCCTTTCTTCCTTTCCTTCGTGATATTTCTCCAAAACTCTACTAATGGACGTCCGTATCTGTATACTTCCTTCTTTAGCCTTTTGCTACATGCACTTTTGCGTCGTTTCCGTCCCTCGACACTCAGATAGTGTTGAAGTCAGAACCAATCGGTCGCATATGGGTTGTGATAGAGCTCGAGTTTCTAGTATTGGGAAAACTATGAGGAACGTCGTACACGATTGGGCCAGACTTTGCCCCCTATAGCTCCAAGCGTATAGAGTTGTAAAGGTGAATAATGTTAATTCGAGGGTAATTCTTTTATCTGTTCCCCTTCTTACTGTACTTCTTACCATGGATGAATCATGCTCTCTCTGATCGCGTTCAACGTGATCCGCGCTGCGGACGGCGGTCATGTTTACAAAAGTTGCATTCTTTCCCACCGGCCGCGGGCATGTTCTGTTATCTCCGCGATCTCCTTTCAAATGCCATTCGCCTCTAGGACTTAGAATGCTTATATCTAATGATTTTCTCTGCTCCGCTCGCCTGTCTCACATTTCATCACTTATTCCCTTACTAGCTCATCTCGAGCCTCATCGGTGCAAAATATGCATGGCATATAATACGGTAGCGCTGACATTCCCACGATGCATTCTTTCCCATAACATGTAAGCGATGCACTCTGATTCCCGGAAACATTGCAGGGATTCTTCCCCCCCTCCCCACCACAAGGGGTATAAAGCTCAGCCTAACCGCGGTTCGAGATCTTCAATCTCGTATGGAATCATGCCTACTACTCGTAGCATGTCCAAGTCTTCTTCCTCGTCTACCGTGGGGGTTTCTGCCCGACCACCCGACACTAAAGCTTTTAGGCTGGAAAGCCTTATGGAACCACCATCCTATATATACATAGTGGTACCAACGAAACCCCCTTCTTCCTCGTGTTCGGGCGGGACCCTCTGTTCAGCATTGATCTACTGATTCGACACCAGATTGAGGGCCACGTACCAGCTCTAGAGGATAGCAGCGCTTATGAAGGATCTTTAGTTACAACATTGCACGCAGCATGGGTGGCCGCAACTAAGTATAACTAAGGACGGAGTGCGGCTATGAAAACACGATACGACCGCAGCCGTCTTCCACCAGCCTCCCTTAAGGTGGGCGATCGGGTGTATTTACGCGGCTATGCCCCCAAACCAGGACTATCTCCCAAACTATGTTACCCGTGGATAGGTCAATTTTGGGTCATCGAAGTCAAACACCCTCACCTTACCATCGTTAGTATTTCATCACCTCAATCCAAGCCTCGTACGGTGCATTTGAACCAGGTAAAGAAATGTTTCGAAATATCGGGGCCTGCTTTCACACACCCATGGCGACCAGAGGAAGAACTGGAAGAGCTAACCCGAGCCAACGCCTCTTTGACACTACCAGTAATTGGCTCTGACTACACCAGTCTTTCAAGTAACGAAACAGTTCCAGCCTAAAAAGCCAAACCATCTCATAACTACAATACGCGTCTCAGAGCACGCCTACAGTCGCTCTGACGATATTTCTCATCGCTCCAAAGCCTCTTACCTATTCACCGTTGTTTTTTCTTTTCTTTTACGACTTTGAGGTTGTTCGGAAGTTTTCGTATCGACTTTCGATTTTGCTGCTACAAATCGTCTAGTCTCTCGGTATCCTCTATTACTGGGCCCCTCTTTCTTCGCGACCTCCGGCTGGGGCCCTTGGCCTGACATCTATTCTCATGGTCGACTTGATGTTGTCCTGACGGACGACTTATTCTCTGTTCTCTCATCGTGGTTCTAACGTCCATCGCAGAAGACGAATCCTTTACGATTTTCAGGCTTTTGCTCATCTGAACGATCTCTCTACGGACCTAGACATAGGTAAGCATTCATTCGCAGCCACTCTCAAGAGTAGTCACCGTCGCTTTACGGGTAGTTCTGTTCAGATATCGATCCTTTAGACGTCTCAACATCGACGAATCCAGCACAGGGTAGTACGACAGCAGCCGAATCACCCCCATCAGTAGTCACGCAACAAACACCACTTGCTGAGGCTTCTGCCCACTCGTCCTACACCACATCGGAACCTCCCAACGAATCACCGGATCCCACTGTGGCTCTAAATCGACTCTCCATACATCGGCAACCAGAACCACCATCTGCATCTGCAACACCGTCGACGAGTTTGAGCGACCTTCCCCGTCAAGGACCCCCACGTGCTCGTTCCCACGAAAAAGCATTCACAACAATCCGAGATCCCACTTCTTCGTCGTCACATCCCTCCACATCTGCTAAACGCACTCGCTTAGACGACACCATGAGGAAACCACAAGGGATTCAACAGCATCCAGCTCACCTTCCGGAATGGAAAAACACACCTGACGTTTACACCATCGAATTTGTACACCTGCACCCCTGGGCCATTCACATTACGCCACGCCCACCAGTAGCGAGTATCACCGAGGAGTCTGTCACGAGCACCCTCCCGCTCCACGTCTACCGTCAAATCCCACAGGACGGATATTTCGCGACAAGATTCATTAGGTCACTGTTTCCGAGACGATTCTCCGGCACACCATCACCATCGAATCCTTTACCATTCATAGAGATCACCCGACTGACGGACATTATTGCTTTTCGACAGCATGTTATGCAACTGACAGCAGCACTCTTAGACGATTAGTACGAGAGTGATCAAGTTCGGTTCGACAATTGCCACAGACCAAAGGAGAAACGTCAGCACCCCTCGTGCCACCCAGCGGAGATGAAGTCCGCCCTGTGTTATATCAAGTAGTTTATCGAAACTATGAGCAAGGCGCCCTGCTCGAGGCAATAGATTTTTATATACCAGGACCCGACCTCACGCGAACTCCACTGTCTGCCGCTAACCCAGGACTCAGTCAACGTCCTGACAGGGACAAGAGGATTCGTCCGCGGTCAACTATCGATAAAAGACTTAATTTGGGTCCACTCATAAAAACCAGCGCTGAAGACCCTTAGCAGTTCGAATCGCCACGAAATGTTGCGGCAGGCCAAGCAACCGTAACCTTCATAGTGACGTCGTCAGCACCGTACTTTTTCCGAGTACACGAGTTTATTTTGGTCACACCATCCCCTCTCGACCGCCACGTTCTGGGACTCGTTACTGACGTGCCACGCAGAGGAGTTAACAATACTTTGGTAGCGTTTCAAGGATGTCGTGACGCAGCCAGAGTATCAAGGCAGATTTGCGATTCTGAATTAGCCGATGCAGAAAGGGATACCCTCCTACGGGCAACTGCGCGCACCAACGTCTCGTGTGCGATGCAATTTTCGCACTGGCCAGTTTCGCGTTCTGCTCAATGGTACCTGGTTTTCGCTGTTCGTCGGTTTTACCAACTCACTCTGACGAAGGAATGCCACAGCTGCGAGTATCCCGCTTGTCCGACAGGGAATTCCGGTGGATCTCCGACCGGGAGCAACACTTTTTGAATTACGCCAATGACCCGGTCGCAGCAAGACGTCGCATGGGAAGTATTTTAGCCGTAGCCAGCGCAGCGCTCTCGGCGCAAAGCTTTGGCATGGACGACAAGACCACACACGAAGTGACGGCATTCGCTCCGAGTTTAACAGCGTTACCGATATCCCTTCAATTCAGTTTCGATTCCTTCACCGCAGAAGCAAGTTGGTCACGCTCCAGACGTGTCAGTACGTGGGTCATAGGATCCTACACATTGGTGCTCACGGTTGTTGCGTTGGTACGTTTTCAGCCTTCACATAACACCATGGAGATCGAGTTACATTTAAGACAATATCAACACCGGATCCTGGCTAACACAATCCGGCGACACGGCATCGTAGACAGAGAAAACAACACCGCTCGAGTTCCAATATGCATACGACTCTGTCGAGAATCGGTAGGAGCAGACCCCATCTTCGATATCTTAGCGTCGGATTCTCTCCTTACGCCTCTCTTACAATCGTCAAGGCCATCGCTGGCCAATACCATCTTGGACACAGTATACGCGAGTCGTAGGCGATTCTCTTTCTCACCACCAGCACGCTTAACGGGACGTCTACCCACATCGATTCGAGTTGGACGTAGAAACCTACACTTGAGGAACGAGCAGGCCTTAGCTGTACAACTAGGAACTGGGGATTACCCTATACTCGCCATTCAAGCGGCGTTTGGAACAGGAAAAACGCTTGTCGGAGCAGTTATCGCGGCACGTCTAGCTTCCGCCGGCCAACAAGTGATAGTCACAGCCACCACAAACGTAGCCGTAGCGCAATTTACAGACACTCTGCTGCAATTGGAAGACTACAATCACCTGCACATACTGTGACTTCTATCCGATTCCGCACTGAAGGAAGGAGCACCAACTATAGCTGTAGATCTGCACCATCTTCTCAAGGGTCTTTTGGCCAACTACTCTGACTCACCAACTACTCTGACTCTTTCACGGATGAAGAAATCTACCGTCTGACGACATACAGCCGAGGCCATAAACTGATAGAGCGCTTGATTCTTAGACTAGACACCACCACCGGATGAAGAACGTCGCTGTCACACGTTGTCGACATGTTTTTTTTATTCTAGCCAATGTTGGCGCACTTCATGGCCTACACAACTGGGGCACGTTGATCCACTGGGCTTACGAACATCGCACGGACATCACCGCATCCAAGCTTCCAGACATCTTCGCATAAAACATTCTCAAACCAGGTGAGACAACAACTTCCGCTCAATTTTCCCTCTTGATTAATATGTATCAAATTCCACGTCCGAGGACGGACGTTTTGTGAGGGTGGGGAGGTGTAAGAGTTAGAAGTAGCCTAAGTAGCAATTGGCAGATCGATGGTGATTCATTCATTGCAGCTTTCTAGGCTCCGATGATTCTGCTGATTAAAGGCGGCGACAAGCGAGAGGACAAGGGCACCCAGTAGCGGTATTCGAGGATACGACCGGCGCACAGGATGGCTGCCTCGCCCAGCTGCAACTCCACACCGTTCCCGTCCACCGACTTCCGCTCGACGTCGACATGTTGTATTCGCTGTTATTAGCTATTATTATGATCCTGTTCGATTGTTATGGTAGTGTTGCGATTAAGGATAAATATCTCAAGCTGCTGTGATCGTCTTCTACTGGAGGAGGTCGAGGGTGACCCTCTCGCCAATAATTATTCGAAGTATAACTCACCAAGGTTTCACCACTCAAGCGGATGTAAATATCGTTTGATAACGATAACATTGATAACGACTAACGACGCTAACGTAGAATAACGGCCCTGAGCAGGCATAAAATTGAGGATTATAACGGCAACAACTTTGAAGTTAAGTGCACGATGTTAGCGCGGAAGACGGAGATTTCAGCGACAAAGGCATTAGAGGCGTTCTGGATTTTCAAAAGAAATCCTAAAATGAGTGGTAGAGATGAGTGCCCGTCCATAACCAACGATCTTTTGTCACATAGACCGCATTGCGACCTGTGACTCAGTAGCATTATAACGTGATTCTCCTTATCCCAAGTATCACAAGTATAAGGGTGACAGCCAATAAGTTTTATTCGCTTCTGACAGTCGCTTGTTACGACAGCGGATTTTATATCCGCTTGAGCGGTTTAACCTTGGTGAGTTATGCTTCGTATTATGGGTTTTGATTTCGTCGTAATATCCGCCAGAGGGTAATGCGCTTTTTGGATACTGTGCAAATAGTCTAGAGTTGCTTAAGGCCTCTGAAGATGACGAGAACGTCGAAACGTTAGGCCATTAATTAATAAATGTTCCACCTAACAACCTAGCACGGCACAAGAATATTTTAATCAGAAATTGTTTGGAATTTTTTCAAATACCCGAAAGAACTATGGAACTTCCTCACTGAGAGTTCTCTCTCACTGAAGGATCCCCAGCCGGTTAGTGACGAGGCTACGTTGGGCGTCCCCGGGTGGCGGATAGGGGAATTAATCGCCGACCAAAAGTCACCGGTACTTGCCCAGAGACGCAGGTGGATTCAGGGCTGGACTCCTTGATTCTGCTGTGCTGGGTCGGTATACCCTCTGTTTCTCGCAGGCGATCCACGCATACGTGTGTGGAGAGTCTGTGGGTGCAGTTGGTATCCTGCCCATCGACTCGGCCAAAAGCTTGCATTCGAGTGACGAACAAGTCACGCTGGGAAGTATCTGGGAGGCAATTGGGGGCCGCTTCCAAAAACAAAGCCCTTTGTCCACTTCGGGACAGCCTGGCAAGCCCCCGGAGTCAATAGCCTCCACGTCAGAGCCTGGCAAGCTGCACGTTGGGTATCTTCACGGCAAAAACAGTAATAAAAATGGGCCTCATTCCCCTGAACCTGAGGGAGCCCCCAATACGGTAGGACCGCTCGGGAGAGGCTGCTAAAATCTCAGGGTCAAAACAGGCTGCCCAAAAGGAGAAGGACTAAGATGGCGATCTGTACTTTCAACGCACGGACGCTTGCATCGGAAGCGTGTATAGAAGACCTGATGAAGCAAGCTAGGAAGATCATGTACGACGTCATCGGACTGACCGAGACGAGAAGGCATCGCCCGCTGCACGCTGTATTCGGGACTGGGGAAGAACTGTTCTTTGGCGGCGTAGGTGTCCTCGTCAATACGCACTTGGCCATGAACATCGATTCGTACGAAAGCTTAGCAACCCAAATCGGACGTTTGCGGTTAAGAAGATGTGGCTCAATCCCAGCTCTAACCATCTTCGTTGCTTACGCACCAACATCGAGCTACGAAGAAGAGGAGTTGGAAGCGTTTTATATGGATCTGCAGAGGTTCTACAGAGAAGACCACACTCTCCTCAAGGTCATCGTCGATGATTTTAACGCCAAGATTGGCCCCAGAAGAACGGCTGAAAAGCTTCACATCGGGACTCACGAGTGGAATGGAATGAGCAGGGTGAAAGGCTGTCCGAGTTTATCATTACGACCCACACCATCCATGGTAACTCGCAGTTCCAGAAGCCCTCTCATTTAAGATGGACATGGGAGTCACC